TGACAGAAAGATGCAAATTTTCCACAAGTTAATGACTATTCATTCCAAAATTCCATTAAAATTTCAAGAAATTCCATAAACATTCCAAGCAGGGAAGGTATGACTTGACAAGCTGATTCTAAGATTTAAATGGAAGTACAACCATCTGAGGAGAACAAATACACTCCTGATGACAAAAGAACAGGCGTGTGAATTGTCCTGTTAGATATCAAGATTATCACAATGATAAAGTTCATAAGCTCAAGCGTGGTGCCTGTGTGAGGTAGACAAAGTTGCCTGGTGAAACAAAATGGAGATCCAGAAACATATCCCTGCATATGTGGAAGCCTAATAAATGACACCTGTGTGCCTTGAGATCCTTGGGGAAGGATATCCTATCTAATAAAAGGTGCTGGGTCGGGCAGCCCGGGTAGCTCAGTGGTTTAATGCCACTTTGGGTCCAGGGCTTGATCCTGGAGACCCGGGATCGAGTCCCACGTCAGGCTCCCTGCACGGAGCCTGCTTCTCCCTCTGCCTGTGTCTGTGCCCTCTCTCTCTCTCTCTCTCTCTCTCTCTCATAAATAAATAAAATCTTTTTTTTAAAAAAAAGGTGCCGGGTCAATTGGTTCTCCATAGAGGAAAAAAAACTGGATGCCTACTTCACAAAACTCAAAAGTCAACTCTGGATGATTAAGACCTAATTGTGAAAGACAAATGTACAAAATATGAAAGAGACTGCAAAAGAATAGGAAGGGATTTCAAAATATTAAAAAAAATCACTTAGAACACATTAAAACAAGAACGTATGTTTATAAAAAGATATCATAAAGAAAGCGAAAACAAGCATCAAACTGGGAGAAGCTACTTGCACACAATAAAAAGGGTTCATATAAATTTTTACAAAGAATTCCTATGAATCGATAAGAAAAAGGCAAAAAATTGACTATGTATTTGAACAGGCACTTCACAGAAAAGAACAAGAGAAATAGGCTAAGTCTTATTAGTAATCTGAGAAATGAGAATTGAAAGCACAGTGCCCTCTGGATTAATGAAATTGAGAATCTGAAAACCCCAGCAAGGTTGCAGAGCAATGCAGTCACATTGATGGCGGCTTTGGAAGCAATGGCATTACCCAATAGAGTGGAAGCTGTGCATACTTTTGAACCGAATAGTCCCAAGTTAGGCACATATCCCAAGAAATATTTGTACCAAGTATGCAAGGAGATACGGACAAGAGGGACCTAGCAGCATCGTTGGCACAAAAAAAAAAAACTAGAAATAATGCAAATGTCTAGTAGCGATAGACTGAATGGGTAAATGGTAGACGATTAATAGGCTATACAGCAGAGAAAAGGAGTTCCACTACTCACATCAGCATCGACAGGTCATAGAAACACAGCGTTTGGTGAAAAAAAGTTGCAGAATAATTCATAAGCCGTGATTCCCCTTTAGAGTCTCCAAACATTCAGGAGTAAACAGTATATAGTTTAAAGATTCAAATGTGATCAACTCATGAAGAAAAGGCAAGGGAGTGATAAACAGAAAATTCAGAAAGATGGTTATCTCTGGATAGGGTCTGGGATAGGGAGGAGGGTGCTATTAGGGCAGCATCTGAAGGGCTTAAAAAATTCTGATTCCTTTATATTTTTAGCGTCAATGAAGAGTACGCAGAGGCTTATTATATCATCATCCTCTGCGTGTTCACACGATAGTAAGTCCTTTATATCAGCTCGCTATTTAACAAAAACAATCCAGAGAATATTTGATAAAAACCGTAATGTCCTCAGCCGATAAACTGTCTCTTTAAATTCTGAATTAGTTACTGTCGATGCTGTTTTATTTTGCCACCTGCAGTTTGGGGATTAAACTAAGCTCACCTAACAAAGAAGTTTGTTCAGAGATGAAACAGTATTTCTTCCTACTGCTCGTGTGTGGAATGGAGGGTAAGCATAGAAATCAGTGTTTTGCATATAGTGGGTCAGAACAAGGACTGGTTTTGAATTCCACGAATGAATACAAAAAATGTAAAATTGACTTCAATTTCCCTTGAGCCAGAAGATGTTTGGCTTCAGAATGTGTGGGGGACTTTTCCTTCCACTTGTTTGCTCTGCCTGTCTGTAGCTGTTTCCTGATGTTCCTCCTCTTGACGAGCCCCAGGGAAGCCAGGGTCCCGACAGCTTGGCCGTGCTCCCGAGGTGTTTTGGAGAGGAGCTGAGGACGCCGGCTGCCCTGCCTCGGGGACTGCTGCAGAAGCACAGCTGGAGAAGCAGACACACAGAGGCCAGGTTTGCAGAATAAGAAAGTGAAGGTGGAGGAACTACCGGCAGATCCGGGCAGTGCTGCCAGACAACCTAGTTATTTTATTTCCAAATAATTAACTTGAGGACCTTAATTATCTAGATTCATTATCAGCCATCATCACCTTCATTATCACCATGATTACTGCCACTAAGAGCATCCTCAGCAGAGGAACAGACACTGTTCCAAGTCACTTTTAAAACCTGATCCTATTGCACAAGCGTCTGAATTCAGCAGCGAAGACAAAGGTGCGGCCAAGGGGAGGGTCCAGACAAATGAACCAACGCCACACCGAGGGTACCGCCTTAGTAGCAGATTCCGTGGCTGCATTCGTTGGCTGTTTTTCCACCTGTCTTTGACTTTCAAGGTTAAAGCCAAGCAGATTGATTTCGTAGACCCTGGCATTTCTACACCATAAATATAGCTTCCTGAAAATCATTTCTCGTAGTTAATATTTTAATTATTTTAAATCTCAGAGTTATTGAAATCATAATTTGAAAATTAAAAAATGAAAGCAGTCATTTAAGAGTTTCTTATCACTGTAATAGTGTGGAATATGAGGCTAAATACTGGCTCCCTTTAGCTGCACAAACATTGCCACTATATCATATCCACACGTTTACTACCTCCTTTGATATGCAATTTTGAGCTGTAAATTAACACGATCTCTCCCCGGCAGCTTGGCCGTTGACAGCTGCTTCGAGGGTCTCGTGTCTGAAAGAGCCTGTGTAACGTATGGGATGCGCGCGAGAGAATATGATCTTGAGTCCAGATTCCAGATCTTGAGCCATTCCATCACTGAATGGCTACTTGTTGGACCCTTGGAAGTTCTTTGAAATCTCTAAGCTTCAGCTTCCACATCTACAAAATGGACCCAGTTATCTCTATCTTATAAATTCAGGGAACAGCTTAGGTAAAACATATACAGTAATTGCTCCTTAGGTGTTAATCTTTATGTAAAATAAAAAAATATGTATATATACCAAAATATACTTAATTATTCAGAGAAGATAAATAGAAAGTCAAATAAATCACATTTCACCTGCTCTGATGAAGCCTTCAAGTCTCAGACAGGCTAGCCATTGAAAATCACGACATTGCTGTCAGGCAACAGAATCTCTGCCATTTTTCACCATCACTGTCAGTGGGCTTTATTTATTTATTTATTTATTTATTTTTATTTTAATTTAGGAAATGAGATTACACGCAAAATATGGAATTTTCAAATGGCATACCAAGTTTTGGTCTTAGGGTAAAGATGTTGCTGGAAGATTATTCACTTACTTGGCTTGAAAGCATATGAAAAATAACTTGATTAAACATTGGAAAAAGCATGTGGAAATCTTGAGATGAACAAAGATACAGAATTTTCAGTTGATTTTCTCTGCTGCGATGAGCACTAGGACTTTGTTCAAATGCTAGTTGCCTTCTGGGCTGTAATTTTACTTAAACATCATATCGTTATTTTCCCCATAATTAAGATGGTATAACATATTACAAAGGATTTGGAAAATGGAGAAGTGAAAACATGTTTTTCCTTTCAGGCCTTTTCCTATGTATATATATATATTTTTGTGGCTGCAATCATAGTTTGTAATTTTTCAACTTGACTTTTCAGTTAATATTTTGTCAAAGCATTTTTAAGTGCTAAGTGATATATTACATTCTATGATTTATTTAACAGATTTTCCATTATGAATACTGAAGTTGCTTCCAAGGTTTTTACTGCAATATATAGTTACTGTGAAGAACAATTTTGCCTTCAAAATTATTCAAAGGATTTCCTCTATAGGGTAAAATAGACTTTAAAAGGAAAAATAAAACCACCAGTTCTCAAAAGTGCATTCAGGTAAACCCCCCTCAGGTCCTTCCTTGTGCCCAGCCCCATTTATCAAGCCTGGTTTTATCAGATTCTGCAGGCAGGTGAGCCCCCCTTAAGTTGCAATATTGCAGTATGCTGGTGTTAAGTAGTGGGGTTTTAAACTTCACCAAACCTAAGAGATAGTGTAAGGGCAATGAGAAAAGAGAGAAGCAGAAGAAAACAAATGGAGAGAAAACACATATTTAAAAACGGCCAAAGAATTTTATGAATGGATTTACCCCCTCAACCCAAGTGGGGGTGCTGGACTGAGCTGTGTAATTGCCATTTTGTCTTTTATTAATATTGGCTTTGCCTTTCAATCTTCCTTCTCATTCCTCCATTCCTCTCCTACCCCAGGCTACTCTCCTAGGGACCTTGAGGGCTCCATGGACTTGACCATCGTCATCTCATCCCCTCGTGGTTTCTGCTTTCCTTTCCTCCCATGAGTCCTTGAAATGTAATTTTCATAATTTTGGATCAGTATTTATGGAGCGTTGTGTGCCAGGTACCGTGGGGGGTTCAATGGAGAGCAAACCACAAGATTTGTGCTGGTCAAGAGGGTGGCAGGAGGCTCTGATTGAGTGGACACCTGAAAGCAGAGCCGGAGCTAGCCAAGTGATGAGGGGGTACACGCGTGCACGGGCCGAGGGCGTTTCTGACAGGGAGCAGCCTTTGCAAAACCGCACAGAGAGTGCAAGGGGGGAGGCGAAAGGTCAGGAAGCCCGGTCCGAGGATGGAGAGCCCGCCCCACATCAGCACTTGTGGAACACAGTGCTCAGGTGCCTCATGCTCTCTTACTGGCATGGTCCCAGGCAGTCGGGTTAAATGATTCTGAGAAGCCCCCAGAGTCCCAGTGATTTACCTTTTCTCATCATGTCTGTAAGATGAAGAGGTCCGGCCGCTGGTCCATATAAACATCTTAGAGGATGTTGGTCCAGGGGCTCCTTTCCTTATGGTGGAAGTCCTGGAGGAATGGTGAAAAGACCTAGAAGGGGAACAAACACACTGAAGTTACCACCACCTGAAGTTTGGGAACTCCATGTCCGCAACAGTCAACGCTCCAGTGGACTGACGCTGCTACAGGGCCAGTGGCTCAGGGCAGTGTTCTCAGCCCCGGCTGCACGTTAAAATCAACCGGGAATCTCAAACACCATCACCATGCAGGCCTAGTCCCTTCCGCAGAAATGCACGTTCAACTTTTACAACAGCCCCTCATCTTCTCTCATGCACTGCCAGGGCTGAGAGCCCCTGCCATGGGAAGCGTGGCTTTCTAATCCACGTCAGCATCGTATTCCTTCCCCACTAATCTAATTTTGGTTGTTTCCACACTCTGTAGTACACTGTACTTTTCCAAAATTTTGGTTCAGATTTAGATACTAAAATTCTCTTTCTCTTTTCCTATTCAAACTGTTTTCCTTGATGCTGGCAGATGTGACATATCGGTGACAAAACATCTATTTATTTATTTATTTATTTATTTATTTATTATCTGTCATTTATTTATTTATTTATTATTATTATTAGTATTTATTTATTTATTTATTTTTATTTTTTGACAAAACATCTTTTAAATATGCTCGGCTGTTGCCACAGCTGTGGGTTTGTTCTGTGGCAGTCGAGTCTCTGAGAAATTCGCAGAAGCAGAGCAGACACCCTCTGGCTCCTGGAGGCTGGATTTATAGGATCCAGAGTCAGGATGTTAGAGGAACGTTGTGTTCTCCTGGATAGGATTTGGCTTACGGATTATGTTGTTTCATCTCCAAGCAAAGCACTAAAAGAAGTTAGCTCTTATTATTTATTTTCTACGTAATAGTCATTTTCTAGAGATTTAGAAATATGACATATCATAGAAATCATAACCACATATAAAAGTTAAAATAACATTGAGTCAATAGAACAAAATAAGGAAAGTGGTTTCTTCATGACGTACAATCACGTGTGGCTTTCCTTCTGGTTGAACGCTATATTAATGGAACGCGTGAGACTGGAAATATGGACTATTATATGATCTATTAGCTATTTGTATATATTATTTATGCATATATCATGAGGTGTATATGCATATATTTACGTTGTACTTATATTATGAAAAATGTAAGGTGGATGGTGCTATTATTTCCGGATTGCAAATGATGCTTCATTTGAGATATCTGTTCAGATTTAGAAAAAGTGAAGCCATGCTTCAAAACCAATGTCTGATTGGTTTTGAATCCAATTCTCATGCTCTCCACTGAAAGACATTTTATGATGTTAGCCCAGTGATTCTCAAACTGTGATGTGCATAGGAATTACCTGGGGGTCTTATAACAATGAGGAATCTGATTCCCTGGGACCTGGGTGGTGCCTGAGTTTCTGCATTTCTAGCAGCTCTCAGGTGATGCCGTGTGGAGGGTCTGCAGAGAACAGCGAGCGGCAAGGGCTCAGAGCACGGACTTCGAGTCACTGGTCGGCGAGAGGCCCAATTTTGTCACTCCCTCGCTGTGTGGTCTTTAAAAAGTCATTTAACTTTGGTTAATGGTTTTAACTTTGGTTAGACTTGTTTGTTTTTCATCCGTAATATAGAGAGTTTGAAACAGAGAACCTTTATGGTCGATCTCAGCTCCAACATTTTGTTACTACCTCTCCGGGACTAGGCCGGGGAATACATCTCATCCAGCAGCCCTGGGTCTTGCAGAGATGCAAGGAACCGAGGCCGTGGGGGCGGCGGGGGTTGGGTAACCAGTCTAGACGCAAGAAGTCATCCTCCCACCCCTGGTCTCCGCGGATAAACAGTGAGAATTAAAGGTGACACCTGAATGGATGGCTTTAGGAAGCCTTAGACTTTGAACCTGCTAGCTCTTTAAATTACATGGATCCTAAATAAATAAATAAATAAATAAATAAATAAATAAATAAATAACATGGATCCTAGATATTTCAAGTTAGTTGTGTTCCTTTTTGAAGATCTTTAAAGCATATCCAACAGGATGGAGATTGAATCCATTGTTAAAGCCAAGGAGCCCGCAGGAAATCAGAATGACTTGACTCTACGTTGGATGAACTACCCTCTAAGAATGAGGGTTGGCTTAATCTCCCAGGAAGTTATCTCATCCGTGACTCTGGTGGAGTCTTCTGCTCGTCTCAGTCACTCCCGAAGGTCTAGGCATGTGGAGTAGACGGAAAAGTGGCCCCTCTGTGTTAATGTAAAGCAGTGGATGGCTGAGCTCCTGCCCTGCTCCCGGTTACCACCGGCATTTCACAGACACACCCTCCGTATTGCAGATGCTCTGACATCACTCCAAGTGAGAGGAGCGAGTGATCTAACGAGCGTAGGACACTTCCAGACGCCGTGATCCTAGCGTGGCCCCCTGCTTGTTGTTTTAAGAGGATACGGAAAGGGGGAGACGGAAGATACATTCATCCTAATGAACCGTCTAAAGCTTGTTGGAAAGGACTTTCACTGACTCCTCGGGTTAGTCCAATAGGTGGATTTGGAGTTTCTCCAGCCCAGACAAACTGTTACTTAAACCCTGTGAGGTTTGCTGTTAATTAAAATGAAAGAGAGTAGCTGCTTTAAGGACAACAGCATAAAGGTTCTGCGGAAGTTGAAAAAATTTCCAGGCTTCAAAGAAACACCCAGGATATGTTAATGGAAGCAGGTTTGGAGGTTCCCTGAGCTCAAAGGCAGGCCTCCTGAGCTCCTAAATAATTACTTCAACTCTGCTCACTTTATAAGACAAGGAACATCTCATTTGAGTTGTGATTAGGAAAGTGATAAAGAGACAAAAAAAAAAAAAAAGCACTGTATGCTATTTTGTAATTTGGAGCCCTAGCATGAGCAGAGCGTGTGCCGGTCTGTGGGCCGTGGGAGCAGCCCGGTTCCCGCTCCATCACGAGGTCACCTGCTGCGGCATCTTCTCAGGCCGTGGTGAGGCCAGTGTGGCCCCTGGAGCGCGGAGATGCCTCCTGAGCCCCGGGCCCCGTGGGGAGGCCTTGGGCCTGGCCCGGAGAAGCTCGCCTGGCACTGCCTGGGGCTGCTCTTGGGGACCTGGTCCTGCAGCCACCACTGCCCACCCTGGCCTAGGGCTGCTGCTCTGATTGCTTACATAAAAAGAAAGTGGAACCGGAATGAAGAAGAAGAAGAAGAAGACGACAAAGAAGAAGAAGAAGAAGAAGAAGAAGAAGAAGAAGAAGAAGACAAAGAAGAAGAAGAAGAAGATGAAGACCAAGAAGAAGAAGAAGAAGAAGAAGATGACGACGACGAAGAAGACGAAGAAGCAGCAGCAGCGGCGGCGGCGGCGGTGGCGGCCTGGAAGAGCCATGCCTAAATGTCTGGGACGACTGTGGTCTGAGAACCAGCAACCCCCGAGCCGCAGCCTCCACCTGAATGAAAGCAAGTGGCCCGAGGATGCGCCCACCTGCCTCGGGAACTGGTGTGGGGCCTCTTCGGCCTCCCGCACACAGCCTGTGCCTTCCTACCTCCTTGACTCAGTCTACGTGTCCCCTCTGCCTCCCTCCCCTGCCTGGTGAGTGACAGCCTTTGCCTGCGGGCCCATCTCCGGGGTCACCGCTTCTGGGGAGCCTCACTTCGGCCATGTTAGCGGCTTCCTCGGCCCCGCTCCCAGCTCTGGGGTGGAACCCGTGGGAGAAAGCAAGCTCCCCGCTGCTGGGCTGCGACTCCCGGCTGGGCCAAGGCCACTTCAGGGCAGCGCTGTGTCTTACATGCCCTGACGGTGGTTTACACCTGCAGCTCACACCTGCAGCTCACATCTGCGGCTCACACCTGCGGCTCACACCTGTGGCTCACACCGGCGGCTCACACCAGCAGCTCACACCTGCAGCTCACACCTGCGGCTCACAGCTGCAGCTCACATCTGCAGCTCACACAAGGACACATTGGGTGCACTCACCGCCCAGCCCTCCACTATCCACTTGACATCGTGATGGTCACTGACTCCGGCCGCCAGCGCAGTGCCACTGCTGTGGCTCCCTCCTGATGCTTCCCGGGGTCAGGATGCTGTTCCTTCTCCCACTCCCACCTCCTCGGGCTCCTCCTCCTGACTGCCCTGCTCCCTCTGTCTTTGTCATTGACTCGGCAGGAAGTTTCCATTGCTCGCTGGATTATCATCCATAAGGTCTCCTTTAGAAGGGCAGCAGGACCCCAGGAGAGCAGACGGAGCCTATGCATTTGTGGGCCCCGGGCATCACCGTGCGCCAACTATGGGTCTTTGGACAAGTCACCTTAACACCCCTGTGTCTTAGTCTCCTCAGCTGTAAAAATGGGAATGGCAGCGTTTGTTTTTCTGGGTTGCTTGGAAGACGCATGAAGTAACAGATGCTCGATTCCTAACGTCGGATCAAGGCACACAGTAGGAACATACTGATCATTCGCGTCTTTCTTTTGTCCTCTGTTATTAGTTTTTACAGCAAATGGATGGATTTTATCTTTTTGTAAAGAAATCCAATTAAGTTGCTTTGTACTTGTACATTGAGACTATTGATTTTTTTTCCCCCTGTGGGCAGAGACACTCAAGAGAGGAAAAATAGTTTTCTGAGATACTGAGATAATAAAATCTGAAGTACTTACTCATTACGTTCCGATACCCATCCTGAGCCAGAAGAGCATAGAGAGGTCCCTGAACGCTGGCCACGCATCACCATTATCTGGGAAAAGGTCTAGAAAAATACTGGATCTCAGGCCAGACCAGCGAGAACCTTTTGGGTGGGGCTCGAGAAACATTGCTACAAACGCTCAAGTTCTGATTTTTCATTTAAGTTAAATCCTTTATGCAGACACCTCCTGTCTCTGGAAGTTTCGGCTGGAGAGCAACAGTTCTGAGTGCTACTCTATGCCGTGGCTTCTCCATGGGTACCAGCGCCGAGGCCTGGAGGTGACAGCTGCAAGGGCGAGGGGCGTACGAGGCAGGGAAAGAGCAAGTGGATGCAGTTTTCAGTCGGTGTCCGTGGCCTTGAGCTACGCATATGGGATGCGCCTAATGCACTCTG